GATCGTTCGGTTTCTTATCAAGTGAGCGTCTGTCAGTACCCAAAGCTTCTACCTAACATACCCAGCCGGTCCCAGATGAGAGCTTATTGGTCCCCCATTAAACTCTGTCTACTAAAGCATATTATATATGTGTGTGTTTGGTAATCACTCATGGTAACTCACGTAGTTTGCGCAGAAATTTTTGGTTAATTTCTTTTTGGGAGGAACAAGATGGAAGGCACCTCTATGGAACAACCCGGATGCCTACTTCTCCTCTCTTTAGTTTTTTTTTTTTATAACATGGCTCCCGTGAGCTTTTCCCTCCCGACAGCGGGAGGTTTTGCTTACGGGACAATAAGAATGTTTGGGAGATTGGTTAGTTCCTTTTTTTTTCCTTTGGGAGGATACCTTTTGTCAAATTATATCGACAAACATTTTCAGTTTTTTTTTTCTGATCAGTTTTAGTGGGAAGAATGTTGTCCTCGTTTGTTAGTGAACCAATCTCTCACGCCTTCTCATTGGACGAATGTGGCCATGTTTGTATATAAGAGGGGACTAAGGGGATGCGAAAGGGGCCAGAGCGTGGAGAATTGGTGTGGAGCCACATAGAGTGTTTTTCTACGCGGTTTTTCCGTGTCTGGCTGTCCTCTTGGCATCCCGGTGTCACCCGAGTCCGATCCCTGCCAACGATACAATAAAGCTAAGTACTGTTTTATTATATATATATTATATTATATATTATATATTTTATATATGGCAATAAAATTTAATTTACTAATATATATTGGTTATGAAAACATATTTTGCGGAAGAGCTTTGCTCGATGCAATACCTTGAAATTATATGTATGTACCTCTACAGACCTATAAGCTTATGTCCATAGTTCACTAAACACCCCTAAGCTGCCTTCCATAGAAATTGCAGGGTATATAACAAAACCAGTCCAATACAATAGTAGAGCGGTCTAGAGATTAATTTGGCGAAACCGCTGAGAGGGTTCACTACTGATGAGCCAAGCCCTCTCAATCAATAACTCATAACATTGCAGTAAGGTCTGTAGAGATAATATTTGGTGAATTGTATATAAAATGAATTGTATATAAGTTGCTAAACTGTGGGATATCGCGTCCGATATGTCAAATAAAATTTCGAAGTTGTAAAAACAGATTTACCAATTTTTAATAAATTTTTATTCAAATTTGTTGTTCAGTTTTGGAAACCATTAAAAATCGAAATCGCTACTTTGAATTTTTTTTTTTTATTAAAGTTCTGCACGTTGTGAAAATCGTGATACTACGCCGTGGTGCTCAAGCTTTCTATTAATTAGAATTGGTATTAGAAAATTTTTATTATTCGTATTTAAAAATATTGGAACTTTCCGAGAAATTCTTGGACAGATCTTGTATCTTGATATTATAAATCGATCAGACTTCATTTTGGGATTTTGTCACTGCTGATATCAATTGGATAGCTCGCTTTGGCAATATCTATCAACGCACAGGTTTTTCATCATAATTTTTTTAAAACTGTCTTATTTCAAGTTGAGAGAATATGTTTTGTATATTCATTTTTATTTTCTTGGATTATAAATAAGGATTAGACTCCTCACATTAATATAAGCAAAATCTTATCGCCGTCTTGGTTTAAAACAACGGAAATTAATCAGTATATGGACAAACAAAAATGGGATTCTGTTGTATTTTATTTTTGAATACTCTGTGTGAAAGCTAGATTTGGAATAGGAACTAACCTATAAGTTTAGGTATGGCTTTCCGCGTTTTTGTTTTTGTTTGCTTCTTGTCTTGCTAAATGCAATAAATAATTCTTTTGTTGCTTTAAAGAGAGTTGTAATTATTTAAAATATTACAATTTATGGTAGCAGACCGCGGTTCAATTTGAAACTTGAGAAAAAGCGAAAATATTTTATCAGAAGTTTGATACGTTTATTCTAATCGGTAAACAAAGATCTCTTCTGCATCAAGGTATGTAAAAATTTGAAAT